TTATTATCTTTACATATTTTTATGGTAAAAAAAATAATAATAGGTATAAATTTTTTTCTATATTATCATTTTCTTTTTTTTTTTTTCTATTTTTTTTGTTTTATTTTATTTTTTTATACTAAATTTACAATATTAGTTGTGTTTAATTAATTTAAATAAAAAAAATACACAATACAGTGTCATAATAAAATAATGATAGTTTTTTCTTGTATGTGTGATATTTTTTCATAAATACCATCAAAAAATAAAATAAATAAAAAATAAAATAATAATAAACAATTAAATAAATAACCACCACAATAATAATAATAAATAACCAACATATACACATATAAAAAAAATTTTATATAAATAAAAGTTATAATAAAAAAAGAATATAATAGAGAGTTAAAATAAAGAGAAAATATTTTATGTGGTGGGGTGTGGGTGTTAATGGATTTGATTTTTTTTTTTTTTTGTTTTATTTATAATTTTATATATTAAAATTTTTTTTTTTTTTTAAAAATTTTTTTACATATATTATTATTTTTTTACTTTAATACTATTATTATTATTTCTAATATTATAATAATAGTAGTAGTTATTTTTATATATATATAAATAATTATTATTGTATATAATAAATAAATTAGATTATTGTTTGTAAATAGTGTTTATATTAATATGTTTTGTATGAAAATTATTTTATAAAAAAATTATTAAATTTGGTTTTAATTAATAATAATAATAATCATTTATATACTAATATTCGATATTTTATTTATCTTTATAGTTTTTAGGGATTGTTATTTTTTTTATTTAAAAAAATAGAAATATAAATAATAGTAATAATAAAAATATATAATAATAATAAAAAGAAATAAAAAAATAATAATAGGAAATAGCAAAAATAAAAAATGTCATATTTCAATGATTCTGTACTATCAAAATCAAAATATCATATAGGTAGTTTTCTTCAACAAAATAATGGTGAATTACACGAAGATCGTGGTCATTTTTACTCTCCAACTACACCTACTATAGGGGGACTATCATTAAACAAATCAAACCAAAATCATCATGGATCACATTCACATTCAAACTCACACTCCCATTCACATCATCCACATCATCACCATACAAACAGCAATTCATTAGCAGTAGGAAAACATATACATCATGGGCATTCAAACAGTAATAGTCACGAATTAAGTATTAACACTACCCTCAGTAGCAGTGTAAATTCAAATAGCAGTGGTTTACAATCATCAAGTTTTCAAGGAACACCACACATACCACATAGTGAATTAGCAGAATTAACCTACAATGTTTCAAATAGAAAGAATAGATCCGATTCGGTTCAAAGCAAAATGAAACCAAATGAAAAAGTTAGTAATATTGGTACTTGGGCAAAATATGAAAATCAACATTCAATCTTTAAAAGCGAAAAAAAGAAGAAGAATATTTTTGAAAAGTATACTTTAAGATTACCAAGACAGTATGAAAAAGGTTATTTAAACCAACATTACAAATCTCACAAATATTTATTAAGAGTATATATTTTTAAAATTAAAAAAAAAAAAAAAAATATATTAATTAATAATTTATATTTTTATAGATTACAAATTTTATAGGTATTGCAGCAGTTTCATATGGGTTTACAAAAAAAGCAATTTTTATGTTAATAGCAATTAGAATTTTATGTTTCAATTTATTTGCATTTTCAATATTTTTAAGTTATTTGAACAAAAAAGATTTATATAAGAAGTTATTCCATCCATTATTTTTATTTTCATTTACAACATTCTTTATCACCCTTCTCTTAGAATATAAAACATCAACAACGACAACTTTAATTTTATTTTTATACGTTGTAATATTTTCATGCCTGTATGCGTTGGGTTGCCTTGTATTTATATGGATGGTTATGTGCAATTTAATGAATGCTGTATGCTTTCTTATTTTTATATTTTTAGAATCGAATATGGATAGAAATAATTTAATTTCATTTGTAATTTATATTTTATTAATGTTTTTACTTGGAGCAAGTCATTTGTATGTATTAGAAAAGTTTAGAAAAGAGGTAAGTTTTAATTTTTATATTTATATTAAAATAAAAAGAAAATCAATATTAACTTCTTTTTTTTATAGAGTTATATTGCCAAAATGAATTTAGAAATTGAATCAAAAAAACTTAGAGAACAAAGGGAAAAATCATCAACATTATTAAGCAATATTTTACCAGAATTTATTATAAAAAACCTTAAATGGGATCACGGAAACCAAAAAGTTATTATGCCAGAACCAGAAGAATTTATGGATTGTAAGTAAAAAAAAAAAATTTTTTTTAAAAAACAAAATATTAACTATTATTTAAAATAATTAATAGGTTCAATTTTATGTTTTGATATTGTGCAATTTACAGTTCTTAGCGCACAATTAAAAGAACCAAAATCGTTAGTTTTCTTATTAACCGAAGTATTTAGAGAATTTGATAGAGTAGTCATGGAAAATAATTGTCAAAAAATTAAAACCGATGGTGATGCTTATATTTGTGCAAGTGGATTAAAATCAAAAAGTGAACCAGATGGTGCAGGCTCAATTTCAAAATATGAACATTGTGAAAATCTATTGAAAGCAGCCATTGAAATTATGAAGCTACCAGTTTTAAGGAATAATAGCCAAAATGTTGATATTAAATTTAGATGTGGTCTTGCAATGGGTAGCGCTTATGGTGGTGTTATGGGTGACACTAAATATCAATTCGATATCTGGGGAGATTGTATAGCTCGTGCACATTCACTGGAACAAAGTGGCCATTCATTAAGGGTTCAAGTTGGTGAAGAAATTGCAGAATTAATTCGTGATAGAGGCCATGGTGGCTTTGGTAAATATAAAATTGTAGAAAACACCGATTGCGAGATGTATCATAATGATGAACATCACAAAGCTCATGGTATATGCTTAAAGGGTTTCTTTGTTGAAGAACAATTAACAACTAGTAATACCATGACCCAAATTTCCACAGATGGTGCTCAAAGTGGCGAATTTAGTAATGATCCAATTTCTTTAAGTCAAAGTATTGATGGTAATATTCACAGTGCATTACAACATAAAAAATCTCAAATTCTTTTAAATGCCAAAGCTTTAAGTGATATCTCATCATCCCCATCTAGCGATAGCCGTCTACTTCAAGAAAACACCCCTCCATCTTCAAATAAAGATCAAACTTTTGAAACTACCGATTCAAATTCATCAGCAAATAACACACCTAAAACTATTGTACCATCATTCTCAAAAGCAAATATCTCTAACTCCCAATCAAACTATTCGATTAGCAATGTCAAAAAAGAAAAAACTTCAACTGCAATTCAAATGAAAGATATGTTCAAAAAGAGGGTTATGAAATACTTTAAACATACCAACCCAGATAAAAATAAGTTAGAAAGAGAAGAGGAAGAATTTGAGCAACAATTTAAAGAAATTACTCATATAAACAAATGGATCATCTCCTTTAATAATCCAAAGATTGAATTCTATTTCCACAAATATGTCATTTCCAACAATGTAATCGAAACTAGATTCTTTTTAATTATTGGTTTACTATTGCATTTATTATTTTATCTCGACGATCAAATTATGGACTCAATTCCATATTATAATAGTAATGCAATTTATTTAACCATGGGAATAGCCTTTATTGTCTTCATTGCCTTCTCTTTTACCAAAATCATTAGAATCCCATTGGTATATCAGATTAGCTTTTTTATATTATTAAGTTCATTTGGTGTATGTACAGTTTTGGAGCTAATCAGATGGGAAAATCCACTAGCTCGTTCATCATTAACAAGAGTTTGTGCAACATTATTCTATTTAAATGTTTTTCATTCATTGAATTTTTTGTCTGTTTTATTTTTAAATCTTTTCATTTTCAGTAAGTATTTAAATATAGTAAAATGTAATTTAAAATAGTAGTTATTAATACAAATTTATCTTTTTTAGCTTTCTTTATTATCAGTTGCTACTATATATCACCAAATTTAACAGGTCATTTATATGAAACTGACTATATAGGTTTTGTTGTGGTTTTAATAATTCAAATATGTTCTTCATATGGAATGAAACTTGCAATGAGAAGAGCATGGGTTATTAATAGCAAAACCAATTTCAAAAAAATTAATTTAAAAAAAGAAAAAGACAGAATCTTCTATTATTTACAAAGTATTTTCCCAAATACAGTTTTAGAAAAAATTATGCATGACGAAGAAAAAGAAGGTGAAGAAGATAAAAAGATTGTAGGTTTAATGTATCACGAATATCATCAAAGGGTATCAATTATGTTTGTTCAAATCTGCAGCTTCAAAGAAAATGATGAACCAAAGGAAATGATTAAACGTTTAGATGCAATCTTCAAATTCTTTGATGGTTACCTTGAAAGATATAAAGGCACAGTGGAAAAAATTAAAACCATTGGTAACACCTATATGTGTGTCTCTGGTTTAAACAAAGACCCTGATTTTTTACAGAAAATGGCAAACTTTGCAATTGATTTAAAGAGCTTCATCAAAAGTAATAAAGATGTTATTAAATTAGGCATTAGTGTTGGTCCTTTAGTTTCCGGCTGTATGGGTCTCAATAGAGCTAAGTTTGATGTTTGGGGTGATACCGCTAATGTTGCCTCTAGAATGCAATCCAATGCTCCAAACAACGAAATTTTAATAACCGAAGAGGTATATGAAACATTAAATAAAGAATTCTTTTTTGGTCCAAGAAATGTAATTCAAGTTAAAGGTAAAGGTGAAATGGCCACCTATGTTCTCAAAGGTATAAAGAATCAAACCTGGGATCAAGGTGCCACACAAATGATTTGGGACCAAAATTCAATTGTAACTCCAATGTTTTCACCAATTCAAAGTGCTTTAATGAATAATAGACCTAGTATAAGTTTAGATGATAGTGGCTCTTTAGAATTAACTCAATAAATAATAATCAAGAAAGAAATAATCATCAAAATAATAATAATATTCAATAATCATATAATAATAGAATACTTTTTATAATTAATTTTTTTAGATATTTAAAAATATGGAAATTAATTTAATCCTTACTAATAATTTATATAAAAAAATAATTATATTAAAACTATAAATAAAAAAAAAAAATATAAATTTGTAATAGTAATAAAACATTAAATAAAAAATTGTAAATTAATTATAACTTTTAAAAAAAAAATGTTTAAATGATGATTTATTTTGTAGATGTTAAAATATATTAAAGCGAATAAATATATGGAATATTATTAAGTTTATTTTCTTGATGATCGAGACTTTGATGAAATAACTGGTGGTGGAGGTGGTGAGGTTTTGGACTTTTGTCTTTTCTTTAATGGTACTTTTTCTTCCTCTTGTTCTTCTTCTGGTTGCTCTTCTTCTTCTTCTGGTTGCTCTTCTTCCTCAACCATTTCTTCATCTTCTTGTTTAGTTTTCTTTGATGAGCTACCTTTTGCTTTAGTTGAGGTTGTGGTGGTAGTTGCGGTTGATCTTGATTTTGAATTTGATGATTGAATAGTTGGTGATTTCTTTGATGACTTTTTAGATGGTGGAGGTGGTGGTGGTGGTGGAACATCTTTTCTTTTTCCAAGAGTTTTATCTGTTGAACTGCTACCTTTTGATTTTGCTTTTGGTGAATCTAAAGCTTTTTGCTTTTCTTTTTCTTTTTCCTTTTTCTTCTTTTCTAATTCTTTTTGGTGTTCGATTTCCTCTTGATGCTCTTTAATAATATATTTTAATAATTGGTCACATCTTTGCTTTAACTCGCTTGGTGTTCTAGTTTGAATTAACCAATCGAAACGGAATTGTGGTGATTTTCTAATTTCCTCTTTGAGTTCTTCCCATGCGCCATATCCAAGCTTATGAATCATACACACTAAAAAGATATCCTCATCGTCATTATAGGTTTTATTCTTTTTAATACCATATTGAATTTTTAATTGTTGCCATGGATTCTTATATTTTGAAATCTTGTGATTTAATGATTCTTGTTGTTCTTTATAACGAAGAATTCTTTCTTCACCTTTTTCAATACGCAATACATGCTTTTCGTGTTCGTTAACTTCCTCGAATCTCTTCCAAAATACTTGGGAGTATTGTTGAACTTGTTTATCGGTTTTAGTACCAATTTCTTCAGCGATACTTTGATAAGCTTTTCTACCATATAACTCACAGCCACGAATAAACGATTTGAAATCAGTCTTTGTCCAATCACCAAAACCACTTTTGAGTAATTTTTCTTTGGATTCTTGTTCTTCTTTATTAAGATCACCAAAATCTGGTTCTTCTTCATCTTCTATCTCTGTTGGATTATTACCTGCTTTTTCTTTTTCTTTATCTTTTTGATCATACCATTCTACTTTTCTGTTGTATGCTTCAGTTTCTTTTTCATAGAGTTGAGTAAGTCTTGGTGGATAGAATTGGAAGTCGTAAAGTGGTGGTTGCTTTGGTTTATTGAAACGTCTTTCTCTCTTTACCATTGGTGAAGGTCTAACTTGACCAGTAACCATTTTACTAAAATCTTCATCGACTGCAACAGTTTTTCTTTCACGCTTTAATGTATCAGCCCAAAAAGTTGCACTTGAATGTTGGTTTCTATAGTTGACACCGTCAAATTCGTAAAGGTTACCATCAGATTGGAATTTAATTGGGTTATTTGCTAAATCTTTGACTTTACTATTCATTTGTTCAGTTTTTTCCTCACCCTTCTTGAGAATTGAATCAATATCTTCATCAGTAATAGTTGAGCTCTTACTTTTGAACATATCATCAGCACCAAATCTGAGCATAGCTAAAAGTTCCTCTGGTTTGGCATTTTTATTGGCTTCCACCAAACGACCTTGTTGAATAACCAAAGCATCTAATTGAAGTTTCATTTCAGCTTTTTCGACCATTTTCTCTTCCATTGAGGCTTCTGTAACGAAACGGTAAACTGTTACTGGTTTGGTTTGACCAATACGATGGGCACGATCTTGAGCTTGAAGATCCATTTGTGGATTCCAATCACTATCGAAAAGAATAACAACATCGGCAGTATTCAAAGTAATACCTAAACCACCAGCTCTGGTTGTAAGAAGGAAAGCAAATAACTCTGAACCAGGTTTATTAAAATTATCAATTGAATTTTCTCTTGAAACTGAGTCAGTTGAACCATCAATTCTTGCATAACGATAATTACGGTATAACATATAATCTTCGAGAATATCAAGCATACGAGCCATTTGCGAGAAAATTAAAACTCTTGAGCCTCTTTCTTGAAGTTTCTTTAATAATTTATCCAAAAGTACCATTTTACCACTATTTGTAATTAAATGTTCACCTGTTGTGTATGGCTCTTCCTCGGCACCATCAAAAAGATATGGATGGTTACATGCCTTTCTTAGCTGCATACAAATATTTAATAATCTTACACGAGCAGCTTGACCCTTTGAACCTGGATTCATTACAGCTTCAATATCTTTAGTTAATAATCTCTTGTACCAATCTTTTTGCATTGAAGAAAGACCAACAAATAACTTAATTTCTTTCTTTGGTGGAAGTGATTTTTCTACTTCACTTTTTAATCTTCTTAATAAAAATGGTCTTAAAACTTTATGTAATTTATCAATAACTTCTTGCTGATTTTCTGTATTTGCCAAATCAAACCATTTGTCAAAATCTTCTGATGATGAAAATACATCTGGTAATAAGAAATTTAATAATGACCATAATTCGTGTAAATTATTCTAAAATTATAAAAAAAAAAAAAAATATTAATAAATCTGTTGAGTATTCAGTGGATTGAATCTAAATAACTTTAAACTTACTTGTAATGGGGTACCTGTAATTAATAATCTAAATTGACTGTTAAATAATCTAACACCTTTTGAAAGTACTGAATTTTCATTTTTGATACGATGAGCTTCATCAATAATAATATATCTCCAACTGAACTTTTTAAATGCAGCTTTTTCTCTAATTGCAACTTCGTATGTAGTTATACAAACATCAAATTTTTTAAAAATTAAACTATTTCTCTTTATTTCCTCCTGAAAATTATAAAAAAATATTAGTATGTAATTTAAAAATTATTGTAAGTATTATTAAAACTATTATAATTGTTGCCACTATTGCTATTGCTTTTATTCTATAGTATTATTATCTTCTGTATTTATATTATTGTTATTATTAAAATTAACTATAATTATATTTACTCTTTCTTCTTTGCTACCGTGGAACTTGACAACACGAAGGAATGGACACCACTTAGCAAACTCTTTAGTCCAGCCAGATAAAGTTGATTTTGGTGCAATAATAAGATGTGGACCTCTAATACCTTTATATTCTGATAAATAACCCAAAAGTGAAATAGTTTGTAAAGTTTTACCTAAACCCATTTCATCTGCTAAAATTCCATTAATACCTCTTTCATATAATTGAATTAACCAATTTAAGCCATTAACTTGGTAATCTCTCATTGTACCACTTTTAATATCTAAATAATAATTTTATGAATAAAAAAATGAAAAAAAGAAATTAATAAACAATAAAGGTTATAATTTAATTAAAATAAATTTTACTTACATGGCGGACTTGAGGTAAAAAAATTAAAAGAATGTGGCTCTTCTTCTTCAATGGCTCCTTTCATAATTTCATCATCCTCTGCTTTTTCAGTTATGTGGCCTCTTTTAGTTGGTGTTGCTGATATTGAACCATTTTGAGATGATAAAGTTGGTGATTTAGTTTCTTTCTTTTTAGTTTGTTGACTGTTTGAAACAAAGTGAGTGAAGATTTCAGTTCTTTCTAAGAGATATTTTAATCTGGCACTGGCTGACTTTTCTTTATCTTCTTGTAATTGGGCCATTTGATTATTTTGAAGCTCTTTTAATTGTTTACGCTGTTGGGCTCTAATTTCCTTTAAACGTTCCTTTTCTAATCTAATGGATTCTAAACGTTCTTTTTTTTCTTCTTCGGTTTCATCTTTTCTGGCGAGACCTGCTTGAATCGAATCATCATCTTCTTCAACCTCGTCATCATCAAAAAATGGATGTGGCTCTTCATTGTCATCACCATCTTGTTGCTGTTCTATATTATCATCTTCGACGTCTTCTGTATCACTGCCATCCTGCTCGATTGATTTTGGTGATGGATTATTAGATCTAATAGGACTACTATTATTACTACTACTATTTGCTTTATTACTGCCATTATTACTTGATTTTGTTGCTGTGTTGCTGATGGTTGTGGTAGTTGTAGTTGTGGTAGTTGGTGATTTTTTATTGCTTCCATTGGCAGTATTTGTGGTGGTTTCTTTATCTTTCATTTCTATATCTTTATTTGATATTTTTGGATTTTTTGAATCCATTATTTATTTTTTTTAAAAAAATTTTATAATAAATAAATAACTAAATAAAAAAGCCAAGAAAACAAATAAGTACAAATAAATATATGTTATTTTAAAATATTTAATTTGGATAACAAATGAAAAAAGAAATATTATTAAAATATTTATATATACAATTTATTAAGATTTTTTAAAACAAGAGTAAACACAACTATATTAGTTATAAATAATAATAATATATATATAAATATAAATAAGTTAACGAAAGGTGTGTGTTTTCTTTTTTTTGTTTATTAAAAAAATGAAAATAAAAAAAAAAAATTAAATTTTTTATGCAAAATTTTTTTTTAAAAAAAAAAAAAAAAAAAAAAAAAATTATTAATTAACAATTTAATTTGGTTAATTATTTTTTTTATTTATTTATTAAATTACTATTAAAATAGTATTTTTCAATACCTATGATCTAAAAGAGATTTGGATTACCCAGCTTTATTTTATTTTTTTTTATTAATTTGGTCTAATTATACCAATTATTTTTTTCGCGGTTGAATTTTTAATGTGTTTTTCGTAAAAATTTTTTTTTTTTTCATTAATTTTTATTTTTGAATTATTATTATATTTTTTTATTGTTATTATTATTATTTTATTATAAAAATAATAATTGGCCACAAGCGGCAATTTAATAACCACTAATGATACTATTGAGACCACACAATAATACTTTTTTTTTGCGAGTGTTTCTTATAAATTTACTTTTTTTAGTAAATTGATAAATTAATTTTCGACCTCATAAATTATTTTGATTGATAAAGAACATCCAGAACAGCAAACAACATCATTTCCCTCTGACAACTGATCTTCGGTAATAATATATTGATCACCGCACCTGCATGGATAGGTGTATTGGCCCTCCTCTTCTAAATATTCCATATCATCTAAATCAACTTCATCTGAAACTGAATATTTTTGTCTTTGTTGTTCTAAAAAAAAAAAAAAAGTTAATATTTTAATTGTTATATCTCATATAAATATTATTTAAAATTTAACATACCCAATAATAGTGCATCGTATTGTTTTCTTAAAGCATCATCTTTTAAGGTTTCCCATGATTTTTGAATTTCATTAAATTCCTTATTAGCAACATTGCCACTATCGCTGTTAAAAGATGAATGATCATTTGATATTTTGTCAGGATGATACAACAAAACCAATTTACGATAAGATTTCTTTATTTCTTCATATGGTGCATCAATGGATACTTTTAAAGTTTCATAATAGTTTTTTGAATTACTGTTTTTGTCATTATTGTAATTATTCATGGTTTCGTTTAAAGATTGCTAAAAAAAACGATTAAAATAATAAAATAATTAAAAAAAAAAAAAAAAAAAAAATTTTAATTTTTAATTTTTAATTTTTAATTATTTTTAGCTCATAAAAAGTTTTTTTTTTTTTTTTACAACTATAATTATTTACATCACACACCCACACTGCACAACGAAATTATATTATAAATTTATTTCTTTATTTTTATTTTAAATATTTTCACAAAAAAAATAGTGGTTTTTATTTATTTTATTTTTATTTAAATTTTCTATTTTTTTTCTTTTTTTTTTTTTCTAAATTTTTTTTTTAATCACAGATATTTTACAAAATTTTATATAAAAAAAAAAAAAATATATTTTTATATTAAGAAAATAAATTAATTTATAGATAAAAATATTATTATAATTTGAAATATTTTAAAAAAAAAATCAAATTAAAATGGAAAATAATTATTATTATTCTCAAAAAGAAAAAGATGATACTATAACATTCAATAGTTCAAGCTCACCAATTGCAGTAACCCAATATGCATACAGAACAGGGATTAATAATTTTAGAGATTTCTTTTCAACTACTGAATACTTTGACGGCGATACACCATTAACATTTTTAATTGCCAACTATGTCCATGATATGAACCTTTTAGTTAATTTAATCAAGAAGTTCGATACAAGAAATGAATTTAAAGAATTAATTAATATTCCAAATGATTATGGCGAAGTAAGTAATCAAATTTTTTTTTTTTTTAAATTTTAATTTTTTAAAATATTAATTTCTTTTAATTTATAAAAAATTTATTTAGACACCATTACATGTAGCAGCAATTTATAATAATGTGGAAGTAACCAAAGCAATAATAGAAAGCAAATATATAGATCCAACAATTAAAGATCACAGATGCCTAACAGCAATGGATATTGCAATTTTGATGGGGCACACAAAAGTTTCAAACGTTTTAAAGGATTGCAAAAACATGCCTATTTCTGATATTAAACCAAATATTTATCAATGGGGAAATATTTTCACATCAAAGTTATCATTTGAAGTTAGAAGCAATCAAACACCACTATTATTTAACGATACCCTCTCATCACCTATACAAACAAGCTATGGTCAAAACTTTTGCTTAACCTTAACTGATACCGGTCATGTTTACAGTGCTGGGCTATGTAGCTATGGTAAAACCGGGCAAAATAAAAAAAGAGATATTTTAATTCCAACCATGATAGTTTCACTTGGGGATAAAAGAATTAAGGCAATAGCATGTGGAAAAGATCATTCATTACTACTCGATGGTAAATATTATAATAGTTCTTTAAATTATAAAAATACGTAATATATTAATTTAGTTTTATTTATTAGATATTGGTTGTGTGTATTCATTTGGAAATTCGTCTATGGGTAGATTGGGTTTAGACTATACAGACCTAGCTGAGCCTCCTATATTTATTTCAAAACCAACATTAATCTCGTCATTTGGTGATAAATGTATGACAACAATTGCTTGTGGTACTGATTCATCATTCTCCATTAGCTCTGATGGTCATGTTTATTCTTGGTAAGAATTGTGATATTTTATATTCAATATACATTATATATAAATATTTATTAATAATATTTTTAATGTTTTAGGGGTTCAAACATTAATTCAAAATTAGGATTTCAAGGTGCTATCCTTCAAAGCACACCAAGAAAAATTGAAAACCTAGTTAAAATGAAAGATGTTGCCTGCAGTAATTGGCACACAGTTCTATTGGATGAAAAGGGATATGTTTATACATTTGGTTCAAATATTGATGGAAGATTAGGTCGTTCAATTAACGGGAAGGAATCATATCAAGCCGGGATCGTAAATTTAGATTTCAAAGTTAGAAAAATTCACTGCGGTACAAACTTTACAACAGTTTTAACAGAGTCCAACACTCTTTATTCATGGGGTTCAAATAATCATGGTCAATTGGGTGTTCCAAGCATTTCAGCTGTATCAGAATTCTCTGAAAAGCCTCTACTTGTAAAAAAATTAGTTCCCTACTCTATCCACAGTATTGCTTTGGGTAAACA